TAGATTAAAGTCACATGCCCATACTGCGAGTTCTCGCCAGCGATTCTCAAACTCAAGTAGGTATAGCTCAAGAGAGCTGCTCTGTTTCAGCGTAATAAGGGTCTTCTGTAGTGTTGAGAACTCCGGGCCGGTCCCATGGTCGTGGGCATTTAGTGCAACGAAAAACTCTAGAGATGACACCTTCCCAGTACTGTGAGGGTGAAGCTCCAGGTCCTACGTCAAATTGCACATTGCGAATGATACTTACCAGTCGCTCATCAGTGCGAGGATCGTCCGCTAGGATGGGAAGCCAGTCGGACATCGGGATGGAATGACGTCGGAAGATTCTCTCTACCCCTTGTTTCCAACTGTCCAGTGCGTCATAGTCAGTGCTACGTGGAAGCGGTGGAAACTCTATGCTGGATGGCGAGGAAATAATCGTAACTTGTGCCGGGGTACTGGTGGGAGAGTTCACAGTTGTCACACTCATTGGGTTCGGACGATAGACTGGTGTTGTTCGTCGAAGAACCTTCGAAGAATATTTGGCGGCCCCAGAAGTTGTTGGGGTATCATGTGCAAACAGAATGTTAGGAGCAACATTGGGGGATTTGGTTTGCCAGTTTGTTTCTGTTGAACAGGTTCAGTAGTGATGGAAAGCATACAATGTTGTAGATTCGGCCTTTCCAGTCAGACAATGTTGTGTAGATTGAACAGATGAGTCGAAAAGTGCAGTAAGTGAACCAAAGCACAAGAATTCCAAGACTGAGTGCGGCTGTATTGGAGAAGGAAGTCAGCCCTGGCGTAGTAGAGATCGAGGCTCATAACCGATGGATTGTATGCAGTAGCGAAGTTAGAGCAGGTAGGTAATTGACTTCTGAGATAAGAGTATTTATAAGCAGAGCAAGGATAGGAAGATAACAGAGACTGAAAGGATAGGAGAAAGAAAAAGATTAAGAGAGGGTGAGAAAGGAAGAGAGAAGAGAGAGAGAATGAGGAGAAAAGAAAGAGGGAGAAGAGAAGGAAAAAGAGAGAGAGAGAGAGAGAGAAGGAGACAGGACCCCATGCTTATATACAGATAACCAGGGGTATTGTCCGCCCCGAGGATGCTTCCTCTGGTCATTCCATCGAATAGTCGGAATGGAGTACCGTACCGTTCCAGAACAGTTACAATTTCTGAGTTTTTGGGCTCGGCAAGTCTGGGCTCTATATAAGATCCATGTGATCCGTCAGCCAGGCAAGTTGCGGCGAGGCCCTGACTCACTCAGTGAGTCCGGGCCGGCGGGCCGGCGGGCGTGCGGGCCCCGGCCCCCGCCGCGCCGGCGGCCCCCCCCCCTTCCGCCAGACCGAGCCAGCCCAGCGAGACACGGCCTAGGGCCGTGCGCTCTCGACAGAGACCACGCTCCCTTTCGGACGCGGAGCAGGGAAGAGCCACCCCGCCCTCGCGCACTCCACGCTGCCAACTCCACACCTCTTACCTAGGCGACCAGCCCTGCACCCCAAGGCGTCCTACCGCGCCG